ATGGGGGCTGGAAACGGAGCCTTAATTCTGACAAAAACCCTAAACAACTCACTAGATCTGAGTATATTTTAGAGTTTGTGGCTGCACAATTATGACAAGGCCTGGAAGGCCGAGCCATGCCATTCGATGAATTGAATTGAGTCAGTGTTTTAGCGTTCACCATTATTGATCTCCTACTGTTATATGTTGAAAGTCAATTTTCCCAGTTATCTCATGCTCAGTTTTGAGAATTGTGGTTAGGACCAATACCACTACAAATCTATCCGTGTAATCGAGAGTGTAGTCACACTCTAGCAGTTGGCGTGTGAGGCGAATTCGAACATCTACTCTTATCTTGTCTGAGGTATTTATGTTTAGGAAGATAAAAATGCAATATTCAAGGGTGGGTTGTACACATATCCTGTAAAGGATATGCGTAGCCTCTGTTGTAAAGAACCTTTTCATTATGAAACGAATTAGCCGTCTAGAATTAGAAACAATAAAGGAGGAACGTTCTTCTAATTTTAGGCTTCCTGCGTGATTAATACATAGGTCGTGCACTGATTTGAGTGTATGAAGTCTAGTTTCATTCAAGTAAAGTTGTGGTTCATGGGGATGTTTTCCAGAATGCATGATCCCACACTTATTGTGGTTAAATGGTAATTGCCGTTTTTCGCTCCAGATGTTTGGGTTGTTGAGGTCACTTTGAATCTGTGATACATTTTCATTTGGAGCTTCAGGCTTAAAACTGTATACTATTTTGAGATAATCGGCGTATAAGTATGGTCTCCCAAATTTTATGGTGTTACATATATCGTTTATGTACATACGAAACAAGAGTGGACCCGATACAATTACCTGGATGACTCCACTAGTTATTGGTCTAGGTGATGAGAGAGAGAGTTATTGCACCTTAACATTTGTTTACTCCCTGTTAAGAATGAAGCAAACCATCAATATAGTCTGTTTTTGGTTCCGAATGACTTTAGTTTGATGAGACGCCTTTTGTGTTGGACCTTATCAGAAGCTTTCTTGAAGTCTAAGAATAAGACTGATACAACGAGTCCGTCGTTTCATTTCAGAGTTATATTATTCAGATAGTCTACTAGGCATGTATCACGTGATCTGGACCTAAGAAACCCATACTAGGAGGCCGAGATGACGTTACGAGTAGGTTAATGTTGAACTACCGCCGCCTTTATCACTTTTTCCATCACTCTAGATACCATTGAGGTTATGATTATGGGCCGGCAGTTTTCAGGTACTGTCTTAATTTTGGAATGATATATGTAGTTTTCCAAACAGTAAGGTAACACACTGTAGAGAGTGATATCGCAAATAGTTCAAGAAGTGAAACACACCGATCATTATCCCCACTTTATAGCATGCTAGCCGGAATACCATCTGGTCCGTCAGTATAGGAGTGCTTCAGTGTGCTAATTGCTTCATAAATATTCTGTTAATTGAAGTCTACATTGGCAATTTCACAGGAAGATACCAAAATTGGTCTCGATTCAGTGATTTTTTATCGGTTAATGAAAGACAAAAGTGTTCACTAAATAGCTCCATAACAAGTTTAGGATCCCCGTCTACTCGATCGTCATTAATAAATGTTTCCTCTTTTCAGTTTAAAATGTTTACGCTTATTTTGGAGGATTTTTCTGAGTGCGGAGGGGTCATAACGTTCGATAGCACGTTTACCCTATGCGAATATTTTTGTGCGTATTACCTCTGTCTGAACGAATATTTCTGTCATTGTAACTAAAGAGGGAAAGTTATTAAGGTTGTGGAATCGAGTACAATGTCTTTAAAGACGTCTTTATCTAGAGATCGGTATATACAGATCTTTAGAAAACCTAGGTCTTCTGTATTCTAGAGGTACAATATTTTTGAAGATATTTTTAGTGTTGTGATAGGATATGTTAGTCAGTTTGTAGGTATTGCTTACAGTAAAGACTGTTCCGTGATCAGTGCTTCTTGAACTTTTTCCAATCGACCTTGTGGTAGATTCTACGTATTGCTACATTTTTACGACTACCGGTTATGGTTTTTATATTAAGGCTGCATGTGACAAGGTTATGAACGCTACCTGGGAACGTCTTTCCGATATGCACAGTATTGGAGTTGAGGCCACTGGTAAAGACTAAGTCTATTACATTTTGATATCTGGCGGGGCTACTGACATACTGATTCGAATGTCTTTCCCTATAGCAGTGAAGCAACTAATTGAGGCTCTAGACAATGGAAACAAATGGATGTTGTCTACATAGACTTCAGCGAAGCATTTCACACGGTACCAACAAATAGACTGCTCTTAAAGTTAAAAAAATTAGGTATTGCCAGACCCCACTTAGAATGGCTTAAGGATCTCCTTCTAGGTCGTATACAGAAAGTAATAATAAATTCCAAATGCTTCACTTGGGATATGGAAAAGCTTTGTCCTAGGTTCTTTACTTTTTGTACTGTATGTAAATGAACTTCCAGGCATCGTTGAGTCCCCAGTTCTACTATACATTGATGGTGTAAGAAATCTGGCGAGAAATATCGGGAGACACAGATGCATGCGCACCTCAGCAGACTTAAATATTCTGATTAACTAATGTAAAAGGCGGCTTACGTCTATCATCACGGGCAAGTGTGTCTACATGCATTTTTAGATACGAAGGTAAATAGATACAGCACAGGGAAAAGCCTGTGCCCGTGGATCGGTCTCACAAGGATTTTAGGATGACAGTGAGTCATAACCTTAAAACCACGGTCCACTGCCAGGAAGTTGCAGCTAATGGGCTTAGAACCCTCCGGGCTTCAAGACGGATATTCTCCTAGTTAAATACTGCCATGTTCACTACAGTATACACAACGTCAGTGACAACTAAGCTTGATTACTACGTGCAGGCAGCAAGTCCCTGTTTAAAAGGTGATTCAGATATCCTGGAAAAAGTACAAGGGCAGCTAAATGTGTAATGCCAAAACTTCAGGGTTTACCATAGAAAGAACGGCTTCAAAAACAAAACCACTTTACTCTGTCCTATCACAGATTAAGAGGTGATCTGATTTTAAAGTAAAGAATACTAGGAAATGGTTTGATACCTAACAAATTCTTTCTCTGCCTTACCACTGGATCAAAATATCTCAGGGGACATAGCAGGCGAATAGAAATGTAAAGAACGAACAAAATACACTTGTCATAGAGGTTTTCACACTGAGTGATCATTTCTTGAAACCTGTTACCTGAAGCAGTGGTATCCGCACCCTCAATTAACTCATTTAAGACCAGGCACTTGTAGTGGCATTAGACCATAACCACACGATCTTCAAAGCTGAACACAAGACTACTTGGAAAGTAGATATTCAATATTTAACACGGAGAAATACCTAACAATGGAAAAGGCGAGAACAACCAGTTGAATGAGTTGGAGTTGATCGGGTGGCATGGCTCGGCCATGTAGGCGTGGTCCCTGCGGAATATTACCTTATATCTTTCATTCATATTAAATATGTTGTTCTCTCTCTAGCCCAAGCTTGTTCTTCATCATGTATTGGTAGTTGTTACAACACAGTGAGTTGGTGTAGACGATGACGTGACTTCCACGTAATATCTTATAGATTAGGCAGTTATATCATGACAAATCTACAATTTTAGGATTAGGTCTATTATTAGAGCAGTACTAATATCATTGTAGACCATAACTCTACACACTTACAGAAGCATAGAGGGAAAGGAATAACAGGCCATAGGCCTTCTGTCCTTACCACACAAATCCGTAATCTTAATCTTAGTCTGAATATATTTGAGTAAATTCGGACGCTTCACTTCAACCTGAAGTTCGTGCTGATGAAGCCATTAAAAAAACGGTGAAAGCTCCAAGAACGAGCAATTCAGCTCAGAGAACAAAGCTTCACCAAAATCATCCACTGATCAACAAATCTTCTCTACCGTCTATGAAATAATATGATTTTCTTAAAATATAGACAACAAATCAAGTAATCTACAATTACGGATAACAGAACCTTGCTTATTAGGTCAGTATTGAAAAGGCTGGTAAATGACGAGTCAAGATATCCAAAGCTTTTCTTTTTCGTTGTTCTCAGGATATTATGGCCTCCAAATAACTCTCAAGTCTTACGCTAACTGTAACAGAAATGCCTTTCAAGCAAACATTGCAATGATAACATTGAAGAACATTTTTTGGCCAGTTTGACGGAAGAACTTTCTATTTAATCTTCAACAGTTTCCTTCGTCCTCATTTAAAGTACGGAAACATAGTATTTCTTCCCTCACTCCTAAAGGACAGGGCGCTCTGGAAGGTATCCAATGGCGAGCCACGAAATCAGTTCGGGAATTCAGATTCAAGCCTTATGAAGAGCATCTGCAATCGCTAAAACTTTACCCATTAGAGTACAGGCATCTTAGAGGTGACCTTTCAATGGCTTAAGCTATTCTTTACTTTTCTGAACATCCCCTTAAACACCTATCTATGTTTAGCTTCAACACAAACCTAAGAGTTAACATCCAGAAACTGGAGACACAACACGACAGAACGGACTGTAGACACGACTTCCACTTCTTAAGAGTAGTCAAATGCTGGAATTCGCTGCCGGCCGAGCTAGTTCAGGCGGCTACCCAGGAGTTCATTAAGAGAAAACTCGTCATATTCTTAAGGACTAAGGACAGTGTCTTACTATGACATCAACTGCTTTTTGCTCTTTTGTCGTTAACATACCTATGTTTCTGCCTCAAAGTATTGGTGATCCACTTCTACTAGACACGGAAACCCGTCAAGCGAAAGCTTCTTCTATTCCGTCCACAGCCAATTGAACCATTTGAATTGCATTAGAATCAGTTCTTTTTATCCTCTGGACTATCTTCACTGAACGAAAGAATTGAAACCATACTTTAGCACAAAAATACAAACATCAGGAAATCAACTGTTTTTTACACATCGGTTATGAAGATATCAATTAATTGATATTGAAAACTGAGTTTGGGTTTATTCATATCACATAGTATTTAAATGACCCAACAACCTTGGTACTTGTTTAACTTGAAATTTTTACGATGAGTGGTTCAAGACCGCATATCAGTATCACCTTTCGTAAATCAAAGAAGCCACAACTCAATGACAGTGTTAGAATCATGCGAAATAGGGGGTTGCTAAATACATCGAGAAGATTACTGCAAAAGTCAGGTAAGTGTCGATCGATTGCCTCAGTTTTGTCAGTGTTTTTCGTAAACTAACAATACTAATATATCAATCCTGACATTCATAATGAATTTTTACGCGTATGTATTGTTAGAACATAAGCTTAAGACTTTTAATTGTAGTTCAGCAATCGCTTACTGTACTAGGAATCAAAATTTGGAGAAATGTTGATGCACTTGGAAAGTACTTTAGGGAATAGGTTAACATATCAAGTTAACTTGAGATCATTAGGATTGACTGAAGATAATGTTCGAGTGTGATTTCAAACAAGGTCTATCTTTTTCAGTTGTTTCCCATAGAAGCTTCCTCTTCTGTGAGTAGAGATTGTAAGGCTTTGATTCAGTTGCTGTAAGCTATTTTGAATGCGTTGAGTTTTTCAGTTTTTTTATTTTATTTTATTTTATTTGAACACATAAATATTGGTACAAGAGAGCGCCAATATATATGCGCCACACAAAACAATGGGAATTCGAAGAGAAAAAAAAACAAAACTAAGGAACGCAAAAGAAAAAGAGAGTAATGACGAAGAGGTACAATCAGAAGAAATCTTTCAGGTAAAGGAGACACAACCACTTTTTATGAAGAAAGTAAAAGAAGGTTACAGCAGGATCGCCACTGGCTTCTATTCTGAGCCATATCTGATAACGTCTCTAGCCACTGTGTAGCACCATCTCTCGGACCCCAGCCAGGGAGTCGTGAAGGACCAACACAAGCCAGTCCTTTGCAGCTTTCTTTCATGCCACGACACCATGTCATGCACTGACCACCTCTCCGCTTCTTCCAACCAGTCCCAGAGTCGGCAAATAATGCACGACGTGGAATTCTCTGGGACGACATTCGGAGAACATGTCCAAGCCACCGAAGTCGGTGTTTCAAGATGGTGACACCAATTGAGTTATCATCTCTGTGCCCGAACACACGATGCCGAACCTCTGCATTACTGACATGGTGTTGCCACTGAATGTCAGCAATCCTTCGGAGACAGCGATGATCGAACACAGAGAGTCGTCTAACGTCCTCAACTCGGAGAGGCCAGGTTTCACAAGCATAGAGCAAAACTGCTCTCACCGACGCGTTGTAGATCCGGCCTTTTACAGCCAGACTAACATCACGAAGGCGCCAAAGGTGGCCCAGATTGGCATAAGCCGCTCTGGCTTTCACTATTCGTGCATTGATCTCATCACTCACACCCCCACCAGCACTTATGCAGCTACCCAGATACACGAACTTCTCAACTACGTCTATCTGCTCACCATCCAGGGTGAGTACAGGATTAGAATCCTGCCAGTCTTGTAGAAGTACTTTGCACTTCGAAGGTGCAAAGCACATACCATACCTACGGACATTGATTGCCAACTGATTAAGTGCGGATTGCATGCCTTGGGCATTATCGCACAGTAAGACAATATCGTCCGCATACTCAAGGTCGAGAAGTCTTTCTCCAGGCAACAGATCCACACCACCATTACTTACATTCATCAGAGCTGTTTCCAGAATGTCATCGATGGCAAAGTTGAAGAGGAATGGTGAGATTGGGCAACCCTGCCTAACCCCACTGCTCGAATGGAACAATGGAGAGAGGTGGTTGTATGCCCTCACTCTGCCTGAGGTGTTTTTATACAGGGCTTTTAGGATGTTAATAAACTTCTCAGGCACACCCTTCTTCAATAGACAATCCCAGAGAACAGTCCTATCCAACGAATCGAAGGCAGCCCTGATGTCAAGAAACACTACGATTGTTGGCCTTTGAAAAGTATGGCGGTGTTCTAACATTTGGCGGAGGGTGAAGATATGATCAATACATCCTCGACCAGAACGAAACCCAGCCTGCTCCTCGCGAGTCAATCTTTCTCGGGTTTTGAACAACCTACGAAGAATGACGGAAGCCAATAGCTTGGACGCAATCGGAAGTAAACTTATCCCCCGATAGTTGTTACAAGAACGACGTGAACCCTTTTTAAAGATAGGGACAACTATCGACTCATTCCATGACGTTGGTACACTCTCTAGTTCCCAAACCTTTGTAAACAACGTCGTCAATTCCTTAGTCAAAAAGTCACCACCATCTTTAAAAAGAGCCGGAGGTAAGTCATCTGGGCCAGGTGATTTGTAACGCTTCAAGAGTTGGAGTTCCTTGCGGACTTCCTCCTCATTTGGTGGATCAGTCGTCACCGGCCATGGAGGGCAGGACAGTCTGACCGATGTTACCGGAGCAGCAGGCCAGTTGAACTGCCCTTCGAAAAATTCTGCCCATCGTCCAAGACGTCGATGGATGTTAGTGATTGGCATCCCATCATCCTCGCAGATTGTTTCACTCACACCAGACTTCTTGCTGCCAGTGGCTCGGATGAGTTGGAAGAGCTTCCGGTAGTTACCAGATGCAGCTGCTGCTTCCAGCTCATTAGCACGCATCGACCACCAGGCTTCTCGGTCCTTACGCAAGCTTTGCCCGATTTCCTTACGTAAAATCCTTCGTTTATGGTCAAACTCACGGTTACCCGGAGTAGACCGACGGGCTTCAATGAGTTGTAAGGAACCAGAAGAAACCCAGTGCTTAAAAGCGGGACGTTTCGCAAACCCACAACTGACTGTTCCCGCCATTTTCATGGCGTCATGCAATTGCAACCAATGCTCATCTATACTTTTCGGTGGAGTGGTAGCTAGCCTAGAGGCTAGCTCGGTTCGATACTTACTTGCAACAGAAGTTGCAACCAGCTTGCTAACATCAATCCGTTGATGGCGTTCACTTCGTTGTCCACTGAAAAGTAAGGCAAGATTGGCGCAGACCAAGGCATGGTCAGAGTCCAGATAGGTACTCCAAAAGGAGCGGCAGTCTTGTACACAACCACGCCAGCGGTAGCTGATCGCGATGTGATCAATCTGAGTCCAGGCTTGAGATGCAGAGGGAGGACGCCAGGTGGCACATCGGCGATGACTGTGCCGAAAGTTAGTGCTAGCCAGAAACAGGTTGTGGTCTGCGCAAAGTTGCAGTAGACGGTCCCCGTTATCTGACCTGCGACCAACGAGTCCCCATCGGCCACCTAAACGACTCTCTTCTGTGCCTAGACGCCCGACCTGAGCATTCAAGTCTCCGGCTAGTACTACAATATCTGTCGAACGCACTTTCTGGAGAAGAACTGATAACTGGTGGTAAAACTCATCCTTGATTGCATCCGGGCTGCAATCTGTCGGGGCATAGGCGGAGATGACGAAAAGACATCGTTTCTCACGCCGATTTCTTCTCACTTTGATGGAACTCTCTAATCTAACAGCACATAACCGACTATTAATCGGGATCCAATCGATTAGTGCTGCCTCAGCTCTAGCACTTAGTGCGACACCAACGCCAGCAAAACCAGACGAAGATGCCACAGGGTCCCCGGATAAGCGCACGTAAAACAGGCTTTTCGAAGCGACAGATGGAGATCGAATTTGTAGTACTTCGCCAGAGTCTTGAATACGGGTCTCGGATAGACAACACACGTCGATATTAAGACTTTCCAAAGACATAGCCAGCCCTATCTGTTGTCCGACCTGCATAAATGTGCGAACGTTGAAGGCAGCCAGTTTGAATGATGCACGTGGTTTCAGAAAATCTGCTTCAGTCCTCGTATTCGGTGGTAACATACAATTTACAACCGGACAGTGACTCGAGAACGTTTAGATACAGTCGGAATTCCACCAAAGACGAGCCGCTGTATAAGTATAAAAGAAGGTGAATAATGTGGAAAATAATAATAATAATGATAATAATAACAATAATGACAATAATAGTAGTAATAATATTAGTATTAATAATGACAATAATTGTAGTGATCATAATTTGAATCAATTGATTGTTTTTCAAAGCGACAAAGGTAATTTACATGGACATAGAGTTCATCATTTGTGTGTGGGCTGTGATACTGCCCGGGTGCCCAAACCGAAGCAGGTGGTTCTCTTAGGGGGCCACTCCCCGAGCCTTTGACCTAAAGGTCTAACCCACAAGGCAGTGGAGCATCGTAAGGAGATGCAGTCCCATGGTAGCCGGTGACCAACGATTGGTTCATACGCCATTCGTTCCCGCAGGATACTGGAGCCCATGTGCACCATTGGTTTGGAATCCAGTTAAAGCGCCGGACATTCGCTTTTCGTCCTCTCATTTTCGTAAACAACACCCCCGCCACGAGAAGGCAATGAGTAGGACTTCCCTGGCAGAGGCTATATACGCGTGGCCGTGTGAGAGTATTTCGAGAGGGAGAGCGGACTCTCCCCACTCTCGGCCGTACCAGGGCATTCAGTACCACGAAGGAAGGCTGCAATAAACCATTGTAATGCTGTTTCTCCAGTTTTCCAGTGCTTGTTTAGCCTACGTGTCATCTTGAAAACCACTAGGTGGTAATATGAAGCTATGTCAGCTCCTCTCTCTGTTCTCATGTCTTCCATTGACCTTTCGAATATTTTAGTGATGCTAATGCATGGATTAGTGGAATAAAAGTGAATTTATGAGATTTAGAAACTTAGGATCTAAAGGAAGACAGTAGGTGCACATATGCTATTGCGAATGAGTTTGAGCCATGTCACCTCAAGTATCTAAATATTAGTCACAATAACCACTTGGACTTCAATGAGATAGTCTCCACCTACCCACCTATATGACTCAGTCAACAGTCATTACCTTCACATCTTGGTTTGAATACCCCTAGTCTTATTTCATGTGTAATTATCCACGTATCATTCAATAGCGGATTGATTAGCGTTGAGGTTAGGAATAGAGCGCTAGGCAAAGGCAGAAAATTAGTTGATAAGGTTGTGAATCCTCATCGCTTGAGGTCGTTAAGACATTTTCTACGTATGAATGAACACCGCTTACTTCGACAGGCGACATATACTGATGTAAAAGTTGTTTGAAAGAAAACTAGGGGTTGAGAATGTAAGATTTCATCCTGTATGATTTTTAACTATTGTTTTCAATATTTTGCTACCTGATCAATTGCTGTGCACCGCCAACGATTTATAAACAAACAGAACAAAATGAGACATTTTGCAAAATTTAAAGACATGGTTTAATGATTAACACTAAATCGTTTTATTTGCTTTAGTTTTAATAGCTGGCTAGTTTCATCTCACTGACTTGTATGAAAAAGAGAGTTCTTGACTCGAAACTGAGCATATAAAGTTCCGTTTGATAAATCAGGTGCCCTTAATTATAATTCAGAGAATTATCGCTGTTGTTAGCATAAAGGGTTCGTGAGAAGTTTTGGTTTTTACAGTTTATATCGCGAACTGAATTTAGTTAGACAACTTGTAAACCAATGATCTCTGAACAGCTGTCCCATCCTAGTGTAGAATTCCCCAATCGTGTACGTTATTATTATTATTATTATTATGCTTATCTGCCAACTTGGTTAATAAAGTAGATACCAACGAGGTTAACTGTGTGTTTTGTTTACTTTCTCCCTCTTGATTACTTGTGACTTTTATTTTCTTTGACAGTCAATCAATCTTTCACTTCAGCCACCTCTCTTCGTGCTAATAATGCTTCATTAGCGAAAAAACTAGCCGAATTGCAAGTTGAATTAAATAACCAGAAGACGGCTACACAGCAAGCGAATATTGAACTATTGAATTGTCGTATGGAAGTAGTCCGTTTACAAGCGTATAAAGAAGCCAAAGAGAGAATCAAGGTATCTTATACAAATTGATTCATTAACAAACTGTAAAAGTTGTAAAAAGAACGAAATTTACCGAGTAAAATGAATTCGTCAATCTATTTTAAGGCTTCTTATCCACTGTAAATAGCATCAAATTACGAGGAATTGTCTAATTATAAATAAGGGTTGGATGTGCTTTAGTTAGTATAGTTGAGTTATGTGTCCAAAACGAAACTAAAAACCATGAAACAAAGGGATAAGATTTTCGAACGCGCATCCAGGAATGTTCATCTGGATGACAGTAAGATCTTCACAAGTTTCATCGTCAGGGATTTAATAGTTAATGGACATAGTGCGTACGTCAGTGAAAATTCAAACCCATTTTCAAGCAACCAACGGCGATCGCTCTCCCTTCTAACATAAGTAATAGCTACCAAACATTTCCAATCTGATCTATTTTTGTGTAATATTGTTGATGCTTGCATATTAATTTAATATTGGCTCTAGTTTTGTTGATAATCTGTCCAATCATTTATTTTCATTAATATTGCGTAATCCTTTTTTCTCTTAATTATGACTAATAGTAACCATAACATAACCTCCTCTCCTCTATATTACTATTTTTCTAACATGTAAATTCACATCCGTTTTAACCGTGCTAAATCATATGACTTTTGTCCAAATTCATCTGTTCATGATTTTCGGTTCCGTTTTAAAAATTTGTTTATACTTCACATAACTAAAAGTATGTCGAATATTTGTCTCTTTATTATTACATTACTTCTTGTGGATGGGAAGCATTGAAGATTGACTAATGAAGTCATTTCATCTCACAAATGTTGTTCTTCAGTTTAAAATGGTTTAGATTGTCCCGTTGTTGTTGTTGTTGTTGATATTTTTCAGTAAAGCTCGATCAATTTTGGTTGGCATATGGGAATACTGTGCAGGTTACCTTTACATAGCTATTATGACACAAGATAATATAGAATAGATAAAATTTGGCTAGCAGTGGGATAGAGGATACACGTCTTATCTTATTTGGAATGGGACAATCCGACCCGTTTCAAGTTGGATCGAATCTCATACCTGTTGCACAAGTGAGTGACTATCTAGACTAGGCAGCTAAGTGAATAACGCCACGGCGTTTAACGCTAAACGGTATCGGGTACGAGTCCCGACGTTAACATCAATTCTGGGATACAGGTACATCTAGCTGTCGAGTTTCAACCGATTCTTGTTTAGTTTAGATAAAGTTATTAAATAATTTTATATTATTTCTGTATGTAGTCATTTTCCCCCTTCTTTTTTTCAAATAATAAAATAATAATTGTTAGGCTTGTATTCTAAACGTACATGAATTATTGTGTTCACAAATTGAAATGGGAATGTCCATGATGAATTATGTGAAAGATTCAATATCGGTATTGGATAAAAATGATTCATTGGAGTTATTGTCAAATCCTACATCAAGTCTGCTTGGTGAAACAGTAGTTGATCCAAATGCATTTGATTCTGTTTGTAGGTAAGACAAAATGGTAATTGTTTATATTTCTTGCTCCGTAAGAGTTTATCATTGTTATTTGTTTCTATTAATTCTCTGACAAAGTTTATTGTAAAATACATTTTCGTCGTGAAATAGTCGGCATTAAAAGCGCTTTTAAACATAAGAGAATAGGTTTAGAGTTATTTATGGGGAATTCACTTCCAATAAATTCGGTGATAGATTACAGCCCATTGTACTTCATCTTGAATAGATGACAACAATAACTCACTGGTCCTCATAAAAAGTATGGCTAGAAAGTCGATAAAATAAACTTTTATTTGATAAATAGTTTATTTAGACTTCGAAATAGTCACATGTGATTCGTTCACCGACACTAATGATGCTACATAGAATTAGTAATTTATACGTTCTTTGTGTATTAAAGAATTAATACCCATATCATTTGTTAAGTGTGATAAATATAGTTAAATTTCGATGTGCTATTTTAGATTAATGTGAAATATTTTGAAGTGTATCACTATGCAGTAATAGACCTAATCAGGTTATATAGGGTTATTTCAGCTTAGCAGTTAATGAACCATAAACGTTTTGGTGCTTTCTACTGATATGTTCGTTATGTGAAATATCACTAGAAGGGTTTTTGTGAATATTAAAGATAACATTTGAACAGTCAGTCGGTCACGAACGACTTAGAACCTGAGACATGTATCCATCGGTTCAAGTTTTCACACTATATCAAAACAGAGAGATGATATTGTTAGGATAGGTTCCAGAACAGTAAGAGAGTAGCAACGCCACTATTGGTAGCAAAAAGGGTTAGAAAGAGATAATTCGAGAAGAAGGAATGAATTCACAAAATAGTAGGTATAAAATAATTCTGAAACTCATTATCTAAGGGTAAACAAAGAATAAATGCATATGCGTTATTGTGATCAGTTCTGAGCCATATTACTCAGTATCTCTAACCCTAGGCAATGATAATCTGACGAACCTCAGCTAGGTATTCTGCAACTACCTACACGTTTCGATACTACTGTCAATGACTTCACAGACTGGATAAAAATGTGTGGGTTAATATTTTTTCCTACAGTACTCTCGTGTTAAGATGGTTTATTATTTTTTCTCCTGAGTAATAAACTTATCAGCATACGTGAATTAACGACATTAACTGAGTGTTTAGATCATTTGACTCTCTCTAACATTGTTGTAAATAAATAAATATCAATGATGTAACTCAAAGACGAATTTGACCTAACAATATATTTCTGACATTTAAAATGCCAATTCAATAATTCGATAGGTTTCGACTGACACCTTGATAATGATTGGTCTTACTCTTTGTAATTAAAAGAACATATATTCACTTTAATCTGCTTTCTACGATGGAGCTTCTTTATTGGTAGTGACACAAATTGAAGTTGATTGCGATGATTTCTTGTATCTCTTAAATCTGGAGTTCCAAATTTTGTCACATATTTTGTACCAACTTGCGCCATTTATGGCGTAGGCGAGATATCCGTCTATCAACCAAAGGACGTGTTTACTGCGCAGCAGTTCGTTCCGTCCTACTTTATGGCAGTGAAACATGGCCGGTAAGAGTAGAGGATATCCGTAGGTTACTAGTATTCGATCATAGGTGTCTTCGAAATATTGCTCGTATATCCTGGGACCATCGACTAAGTAATGCAGTTGTTAGGAAACGGGTACTAGGTAAGGATGGAAAATCAATTGATCAAGTGGTGAAACTTCATCAGTTGAGATGGCTGGGACATGTGTTAAGTAAGCCCAACGACCGACTGCCTCGATGTGCGATGTTCAGTGGTATAGGAGTAGGTTGGAAGAAAGCTAGGGGCGGCCAGACCAAAACATGGCACAAGTTCATGAAGTCACTGACAAGTAGACTGAGTCATATTGGTAGGTGTAGACTACCTGGTTGGGGACCGCGGGATGATATCAACCGATGGTTAGAGACCCTAAATGACATGGCTCAAAATCGTTTGCAATGGCGCAGGTGCATACACTCTGTGTTCTCCCAAATTCTAATCTTCTGAATTCTTCATGTCCCTTTCTTTTTTTTTCTTTCCAAATTTATTTCACTGGATTATACTCCTTGAATAACATCTTCAAACCCCAATTTTTCTGATTACAGCTTATAATTTTATTACACCTAGCACTACGGGATTTGAATCGACAATTGTATCTCTGTGCTAATGTGGTGTGACAACTCAAACTGATGTACGTACGTACGAAGTTCTACGTTGTTACTGACTGACCGACTGACATATATTTTTGTCATATCTCTTGATCTCATTCATTTTTCTTAGGATTATATTCTCTTCAGCTGCTTCCTTTATTGCTACTGTTTATTATTATTTCAACTTGTTATTTTCTTCCATTGTTGTGTTGATTCGAATAATGGCGCACAACATGTCGGTGAGGATTTTGCTCTATGCTTGTGAATCCTTGCCTCTCTGAGGTGAGGATGTCAAAAAACTAAGTATTCGGTCATAATTGTCTCCAAAGAATCGTAGTGGTAACACCATTTTGGTAATGCAGAGGTTCAATAATGTGTGTTCAGATACAATGACGATACCTCACTTGGTGTTACCATATTCAAACACTAGGTTTGTTAGCTGGGACACGTTTTACAATGTATTCCCAGAAGCTTCTATGTTGTGGATTATTTGCCGACTGTGGGGAGGAGTATAAAAAGTGTGGAAATAGTCGGTTTATGCCTTGGCACTGCATTATGAAAGAAAAGGAACTTTATATGACTGGAATCTGTCCGTTCAACACGACACTCCGGTTGGAATCCCGAAGGTGGTGTAGTCCTGCGGCTTGAGGCGTGTTCAAACATGGGTCAGAATAAAATCCAAGGGCTACCCTGTTGCAGTTTTCATAAAAGTTGAAGGGTGTGTCCTTACTAAAAGAAGTCCTTGCTAGTTGTATTTTTAACCAAATTGTAACTCCTGTCTTAAATTATCTTTGTTTACTTATTTTGTTTTTGCCTATGCTCTCATCCCCTACTTTATTTCTATTCAATCTTATTGTTTATTTGTATACCTTATGTCTTCAGTGCCCAATTGTACCAGAATTAGTGTATTAAATAAACTAATTTCAACTTGAATTCATCTATTTCATACTATAATAATGTTGTAGATTACTATAAATAATTTTAGATTGACATCAAATAGATTGCAGAATATCTATTGTCTGTCCATCTTATGATGGAATTCTGTCCGATATTTTTCTCCATATGACATTGTTTGCTAGTCTTTTTTTCACTTAATTTTCTTGGTATTGGGACGGTAGCTTAGTAGTGAGTAGTGGTTAAAGCACTCAACTTTCAACGAGTAGTAGTAATCGTAGGCTCGAAATCTGTTTCATCTACTTCTATTTGCGTGGGTGGGTGGCAATGTGATGTCCGCCTCTTATGTGAACAGATATAAGTAGTATGTAGCAGGATTAGGAAATGGAATGCTTACCAGCAGAAAATTGAAATGAATAGAACAGGAAGGAAGACGGAGAGCAGTCAGAATAACAACAGAATTGAAAGAATAATGGAGTATGTAAAGGGCGATGCAAAGATTTGCAAATGAGGTATTTAATGTATGATTTTCATATTTTACAAAGGGACTGTGTGGTTTTGCATAAAACAATAAATTGGTTTACCTTACCTGAGTTTTCGGTAACTACAGTAGTAATACTATTGTCCTTCAGAAAACTAAGAAATTAAACATACATGTACTTTGTAAATGAGTTACATTGAGTTAAATTAAACGAGAAATTTGAAGATTAGTTGCATTTATTCTTTGTTATTATTATTAATAATATTATCAACATTATTATTATTGTTACTGTTAGAAAAGAATTTACAAAGCCTGCTCAACAGATAACAGAACAGAATGTTCGTCAACTATCTATTGTTTATCCTGAAGTTCAATCTCCATCATCATCCACTTCATTAATAACAGGTCCGGTGAAAATGGCATTCAGTCCTAACGATCACAGTATTGCTAAGAATATTAGCACTAATCATAGTAACAATAACAGATTTAATGTAAGTTATCAGTTAAAAAGAAAAAATGACTAGTAATGCAAGTTTACTTTTTACATGAAGTAACAAATTGAAAAGACAGTCAATAATATTGAAGATGTGAGCTTGTCCAGCAGTTTACGTCCCTATTCTTTTGACTAGACTGAAATTTTTTTCGATAATAAATCAGGTTTTAAGATTCTTTAGTTTCAGTGGTATAAATACACTTTACTGAGGACCTTCATTGACCCTCGAGATGATCTTGAGAATGGAATGAAAATTGGAATGTAGGTGATATAAATAGGTAATTTATTACTTAAGATTCCCAAAGAGCTTAGGAGTTAGATTTTGGGTCTAGTTAGGAAGGAAAAGAGTGAGAAAGTGCTTCCACAGTTATTTCTTCCATCTTTAAACTTCAAGATCCTTTGAGCCATTTTCATAAGTCATGATCCCTATTATTTAGTCTTCCGATTCTATCAATTTTCGGCGTCTTAATAATTAAATACTGATAGGTTTTATTCAGTTTTCAATAAACTATCGGTCATCGTGTTTCGAATTTCGCGCCAAGCTAGTAATTATTATTATAAACGTGACTGCTTCATCAGTTCATCATACTGTTACTGATTTAGTCTACTCGTAGTTTGAATATGTGAATGGTGTCGCATCACTAACACCTATACGTAACATGTACGTGGACTGTACTTTGCCTACATATATATTTTTTATAGCACATTCTAAACTAAAACTGTTGTACGTAAAACATTTGAAAGTTGGTCTTTAGAAACAATACAATTAGAGCAAATAGGAATATTTAGTCAAGTAGAATATGGTATAATGAAACATGTAGACACGTAACAATAAATAAAACTAATGATATTCACACTTAAATGAACTGTGTCCAAGTGCTTAGTCATGATCAATGAATGCTAGTCGTCTAAGTAATTGCTATTGGTTAGTTTTATTAATACCCCATAACTAAGAATCTATGGATAAAGGGTAATTCATCTATCAAGTACAAATTTGTGGATTCAGTTTTGAGTTATTCTGCTATTTTGTGAAGATCATTAATACTACTCGTTCACCCAAATTGGATTACACAGAACGTGACTCTAACAATATATACTTATTCATAACTAATATTAGGTTAACTTAGGCAAAGTTACCGTCTGTTACAAGCGTTGTACAATTGAGTTGAGATTTGATTTAACAGTTCAGTAAATTCGGTAATATTCAACATAGATTTGAACTCCACCAATTCACTCTTTCAAGCAATAAAAAAATATTAAAGGGTAAATCAAGATAAATAAACATAAGATAAATTTGTTATGCAATACTACTTCCACTGGTAATTACAGAGTGAGTCACGAATGAATATTTATAAAACTTCTCAGCATATGAGCTGTGTGATTGATCATTACTGTGATGATACGAGTTTTCTGTGAATCTTTTTTAGGAATCCTGAAATTGTGACGTAGCCTATTTCTCAGGATCAACATTCATGAATGGCTTACCTAAAGCATCTGCAACTTGCAAAGTTATTAAATTTACGATAGTAGTAACATCTATTGTAAGCCATGTTTTAAAGTCATTACTTTGGATGGGATGGTATAGTTGATCTACAATATAGTTACTTTCGAGTTCTACAGCAATGCATTTAGTTCTTATAAAGAACTAGAGTATTATCATTTGATCACCGAATTTCTGTTTTGACATGTTTGCACCAAGTCATACGTTGTTGATGTTTGACCTTTAGATATAGTTTTTCACCATCAACTATTCTATATGAGACATTTTCATTTGGAAAAAGTCTTTTTTTTTCTAGGTACAACCGATACCTCTTATTGAAACATTAAATACTGACGTAAAATCATCACAGTCTATCCGTCAGGAACCACGTAAGTTATTGGCTATTCTTACCATTCAAATTTAATATTATTTCTTATTAACAAGGTTTATTCTTTTAATAATGAAAATATTCGATGTAGTTTAAACTTGGTTTTATAATTTATATGCGAAGTACATCCCTCCCTTGTAGGATGTCTTAATGACAGTAAATTGATTATTATTATTATTATTATTGTTATTATTATTATTATTATTATTATTATTATTATTATTATTATTATTATTATTATTATATAGAAATCCACTCTTTCCTTCATCAATTTCTTTTATGAATAACTGAATGGCATTATTTTTTAAGTATTACATAACTGGTGAAATTTTTAGTTTTCTATATAAACTATTAACATGTTTGTTAGAATTAGAATGTTTGAAGTGGGAAATATTTGGCTATGTTCTTCATGATATACCTGTAATCTAATTAAAATATCAATCGGATGCTATAGGATTAATATGACTAGTTTTTTCTCCATTTTATCTCATATATCTAATCGTCGAAGATTGTTATATGCCAGTTGATAACTTCTTACCCTTTAAAAGTTTGTAAACTGCAAAGAGACTGTCCTAATTTCATTCATAAATAGTAATGTAGAACCTGATATATTTGTTCACTATTTGCATAACAAGAAAGACAGTTAACAGGATAACGAAAAGAGATATATTGCTTATAATAGTAGTAGTAGTAGTAGTAGTAGTAGTATTAAGGTGTGATGAATGTTTCAATAGTTCTTCAAACTTCCTAAGAATGGAAGTACACCGTAGTCATACCTTACCGTAGTGAAACATCAGAAGAAATCAAACGGATTCTAAACAAACATGATATAAGAGTATATTTTAGAGCGAATAACACATTAAGATCGACATTAGTGAAAGTTAAGGACAAGTTAGCAAAGGAAGAACAACAGAACATTGTGTATGAGATTCACTGTCATGACTGTAATGCCACCTATGTTGGAGAAACATTCAGGCAATTGAATGTAAGATTGAAGGAACACAAACAATGCTTGAAAAATGTTTCAAAATCCTCGGTCGATTTAAAGAAACTTGAAAATAAGTCAGTGATAGCGTTACATGCGTTAGAAACAGGACACAAGATTAATTTTGAAGGGACCAAAATACTTCAGAAAGGTTTTAACACCCATAAAGAAAGATTGACAACAGAAGCGCTGCATATATGGGCGAACAAGAACAGCCTGAACCGAAAAGATGGTATTCAACTGGCAACTACCTGGCAAATTTCGTTTGACAAGTAAATTTGGAACCCATCTCTTGTTTAAACCTGTTTTTAATATCACATGCATCGTTATTATTATTGAAAGAACTCAATGAGTATTTTAAACAATACAATTTATTATATGTGAAAATTATATTTGAAATATTCTCAGCGATTGAAATTTAACTAATTCCAACGTTTAGTCCAGCTAACTTGTCTGGACTTCTTCAGGGTCCAGACAAGTTAGCTGGACTAAACGTTGGAATTAGTTAAATTTCAATCGCTGAGAATATTTCAAATATAATTTTCACATATAATGTCTTCTCTATACTCGGCGCTCAATTACTGTCAAACTATTCGTTCTAATCTTGACGAATATTCGTATAAATACAATTTATGTTTTGACATGTTTCATTATCAATTTTTCATCCTTGGACTTTATTTATTCCTTCATATGAATGTCTCACACATACATACATAACTACACACTCACACACATACAACTTGGTTACTCAGTTAAGTATTTCCGTGTAGTTGAATTCTTCACATGATTTGTAGTTAACTTACTCATTCTATCCTATTTTACAAAAAATCAACATCCAAATATGATTGATTTAACACAGTATAATCCTGATTGTTAAAAAGCTATATATTTCTTTGATTATTACCCTGATGTGAAGTCCAGACAAGTTAGCTGGACAAAACGTTGGAATTAGTTAAATTTCAATCGCTGAGACTATTTCAAATATAATTTTCACATATATTTAATGTATTGTTTTCATGTTTTACAAAGACACTATGATTTCGCATAATACAATAAATTGGTTTATCTCCACCCAAGTCTTCATTTGTTACAGTAGTGCTCACTTCGATGATTCATATTAAAATTAAAATGATGCAGAAAAATGAAGAGATTATCTACTGGACTGAACCATGTTAGTGTATGTGTGGTCTGAATCATAGTGCCTATATCTAATCTTTTCTATTACCACTGATACCATTACTACTTCTATACTAGTTTGATGGTCATCACCGTTCTTATTTCATGTTAAACATGTATGCTAGGTTTTTACTTTACTGTATGGCTAACTAAATGATTTCCAATTTCAGTAAGAAACTAGACATTAAGAGGGTGGATGAAATCAGTTCATAAGATGTTTAGACGAATGATATATAAACCTTATAATTGAAAAGAAAATGAAAATTAATGTATTTTAATCATGGTGAATAATTTTATGAGTCATATCTCACTGTATTGCTTCCAAACATAAATGACTATAACCATGTGAACTTCAAATAGAAATCTTTGAACTCGTCGAAAGTATTCTGACCATCTTATTTTGTATAGTCTAAGGTTCTTCTTTAGATTTATAATTAATCAACCGGCATAGCATTCTAGTTTTTGTGTACAAACCTTCTTAATTTTTAAATTATAACCTTATCAGCTATAATTAACCACCATTACTAAAATGGCTTTGTTTAATATAGAGTGTTTGATTACAGTAAGGAGTCCTCAGTATAAAATATGTAATATTCCCAACGACATTCTTGTCTTATGCATACAATTAACCTGTGAGTATAAAAAAAGTTTTCCAACTGTGACTAGTTCCCATCCATCACCATCATCTACAAACGTTCCTAACTAAGTTGACTGTTAATAATATGTTCAATACATGAACTTCATTGTAATCACTAGTCTTTTCTCCGAAGTGTAAACAAAATGGACAATATACTTCTACCCATTGTGGTGTTAAGATTTGAATTTTGCTGTTAAACAGCTCCATGTAAGATGGACTGTAAATTTTCTTATTAAAGGTCGAGTAGAAAGTATTGTGTATTTAACTAGATGCATAATTAAATCACTTGAAAAAATCTATTGCAAAATATATGATATCATTAATACTGTGTCTATCTCTTTTTGTGTTTACCATTACATTTTAATGATCAACGATTTACTTTCAGTGGTCTCATTTTACGCAGGTTTTGTTTCTATGCTCTTTATGATCGCATTTTCTAGCGATCTTAAATTCTTAATGACTTCTTTATCACTGTTTCTTTTTGTTAAAAAAATCATTTTCATTGCAACAACAACAACAATGGTAGTAGAACCATCTTGTGAAGAAGTTTTACCTGAAATACTGACTAGTCCAATAACTTGTATATCTGAAAATAATATTGCAAGCAAAAGATGTCCTCCAATAGTAGATACTAATGTAAATAATGTTGATTTAGACAATGATAATCATATTGAGGATACCTACAAAAACATTAGTCCTGTACATTTTTCAGTTCAAAGTTTACCACAATCGTGTGTTTCTGTAAATAATAAACCTTCCGTTATTGATTCAAAGAATATTGATCAACTGGTCGTTCCTAATCTTGTCAATAGTTGGAATAGTAAGAACAATGAATGTGTAGTTAACCCTGTTTATCATCATGAAATACAATCAGCTCGACCTCATCTGGTGCGTCAAGCTCGTCTAAATTCAAAACCAATCATTGACACATCATCTTTTATGGAATCGTTTATTGTTAAAACAACAACAAAAGAAAAGAAGAAAAAATCAGGTAAACATCGCCTGATTCGTGTCAGAGATAGTGATGATGAAGGTGAAAATGATATCAACATTAAAGGTGATAAATTAAAAAATAATATTGGTGTTGTTGGTGGCGATGAGGATGGAAGTGGCCGAGTCATTGAAACCTGTTTCCGTCGGCCTGGTGAACTTGTATTTAGAGTTGATTCAAAAAATGTCAATCCATCATCAACGATTGGTGTCAGTGACAAACAGACAACTCGATCCAAGTCGAAATTACCAACAACGACAATCAATCAACAGTCAAGATCGAAATCAAAACCTCAAACTACTACTACTACTACTGCTTATATTAATAGTACCAATAGTAAGAAGACTAACAAAGATGTGAATAGTAATGAATTTAAAAAATTGTCGAAAGTAGTTGGAACGGAAATTAAAACAGTGGTAAGTTCTTTCTCTTCTTGGTATTTAATATAAAACTGACCCTTACAGAATAAGTTTGATTAAATCATGTTTCTTATAGGATTAACATCTTTCTATTTTTTTTTCATTAAAAAGTTGGACATGAAACATATTTGTATCGATTCAGGTTGTCGCAATATATCAACACAGTGAAATGGAATTATGAAGAGATATATCTGGGCTGTAGAAGTAGTAATAGAAAAGATTAGTCATAGATAATGTGATTCAAGAAGAAACAAATAGTGAGTGTATCTGTGTAATTGAGGCAGATTTTAAATCATATTATCTAACTCCAACCAGGAAGTAAACATTTACTTATACAGCTATGTCCATTTGTCAATGACTTTATGAATTGATACTAGGTTTTGGTTGGGTTTTCCTCTAGCTTTCTCTCGAACTATTATATAAACAAAAGTCGCGCGTTGAATTAGATGGTGCCTGGTCATATGTATCATATTCCGAACGTATTACTCCATGAAAGTCTCACTAATTCACCAACCAATTTACCATCTTAACAAGGTGCTGTGTTTTAATTTCAGTATTATTGGTTAGGTGATCCCATTGGACGTGAACAATGTTCTGAAGGTATCAATGATCGCATACTAGTAATCTACAAGTATCCTCTATTTTTAAAGCCCACTTTTCACAGCCACTAAGTAGAATTAAACAAATTTTCACAGTATATTCGTCCTTCAATTGCTACACAGAAATCTCACGCCACAGGTGACGCAAGTTGATAAAAACCAAGCGATAAGTCATACAACTAGCCAGATGCATGAATTATAATATCTAGTTACTACAGTGGCCGTTGAATTAAATTCTCTGAAAATGAGTATCACATTTGTGTGTAATTTGTAATGAGATTTCCGGCTCTTAGTTTCAAGCCAATTTTTATTGTACACATTCAGTCATAAAAATTCTAAACCTCACTCCAACTGTACCACTATGTTTGAACCACCGGGTGCTTTCACATTATCGCTGAGTTTCATGTATAACTGTTGTGTCCCGATAAGCATAATGAATGGTAACTTTAGGGATCTATTTGTGGACCAATACCATACGTATATTTTTATCGTTTAATTGTTAAATAATTAAAGTGTTCATATTCATGTCCCTCTTATTGTAAGCTTTATTTTGACTTATGAACTATTATTATACGATCTATCATTCTTGAATCATGCCCTGTGTATTGATTACTACCTCCCACATTCACAGCCACATTTGGCCAAATCTTGTATAAATGTTGTTTCCTATTTTATTGGTACGATGTGGTCTGTCTGGTTTGTATATGAACCCAGTATGCTTGGAATAAACGATTCATATCACAGAGGCTGAGATTTGTGTTGTGGACTTAACTGGCCGGGCTAGCCGGAAAGCAGGACTAATCAGGACTCTAGACTGCTTGTACGGGTTTTACGCGTCCTTGGTCCGATCGATAATTCACTGCTTTCTAATTGGCGGTATCGTTACGTTATACATTAACAGGGCACTCAGGCTACAAGTTATAACTAATGGGATTGAAAATTTAACATCCACTAACTTTACAGGAATAATATCTGTACTTGGATATTCTTAAGTTGGGCTTGATTAGACGAGGTCATATTGACATGTAACGATCATTCTTGCAATAAATCAATTTTAGATGAGATTCTAAGTATTATGTAGCTTAGGTGACCTGATTAACTAAAGTTAAACACTGTTAGATGCAAGCTCAGTGGCCTCGAAGTTAAGCGTTCGCGTGAGACCGAAGTTATCGGGTTCGAGTCCTGTCTAGAGGATTGTAGGTGCGCACTGTTGAAGAGTCCCTTACTAGTACGAAGCGGCCGTTTAGCGCTCGCAGGTTTGCGGTCGTGGTCTAACGGTAATTGGCTCATGGTCTCAATAAAAAAAATCCACTTTTGTATGTTTTAATTTAAATCGTGTTTAATATTTCTGTTTATTATTATCATTATAACATGGTTTTCACTTTTATCTTTCTCTCCAACCTTTAATTTCTTCATCATCTCAAATTACAATTTAATTGTAGAATATTTTCGATTTATCAATGAATCGAACTGCTGATCTATCTGTTCTTCCGCCTACTTTAAATGATTTACGCATTAAGCATAAAGAACAACAACAACAAGTGAACTCAAACACTGAAGCCCAGAAAGATACCACTGCCAAGATGGCGATGACGACAAGGAAACGTTCTGTTCTTGGTGAATTACAACAACAAGAAGATGATAAACTCTATTCTGTTGTAAAGAATAATAATATTGTAGATGAACACCGTCGTCTTTCAGTTGTCTTGACTCCAATGTAAGCTTGTTTTTGGTTTTAACAGATAGTAAAAAAATGTAAGGTTAATCGAGAGTTAGATTAGAAGACTATTAAAGCAGTTTGTAATGACAATACTCATAGTAATTAGAAAGAATATAAATTTGTATCTAATCAAAATCATCATTTACGTAGTAAAGATTTATCTACATACAATTTAGTTGTAAAAAGAGTATGAAAACCAAATTCTATGAAGCGCGGCAATTTACATCCACAACTTGTTAAAAGTTTATAGCTTTAACCATAGAGTTATAGTGCTCCAATATTTCACGTATAAAGTTTAATGCAGACATCCGGCTCTTAAACCGAGTCGGTAGATGTAAGTAGTCAATGTAAACGGTATGAATATTCACTTCAAATCATTAGTGCATAATAGATTTAACCAACCTAAAAACTATGAATAACACATGAATCTGCTTTTACGAATAGAGTTTTCTTGATATTTCTGTACTGTCTTCTGTGTTTAGGATACTTGTCCAAACGATTTCGGTTAAATAGTTCCGTGGTTATGTTCTTCAACTGGTTAGTTAAAATGATATTTCATATTACTGAGAAGATTTCAAATTATCCATTTCTTTTAATTAAATAGCAGTTCTGTTATTCAAATATGTCATCAATAACTTCCAGTTTCACATTTATGCATTGACCGTTATTGATGTCTGGTTAGTTTTTCTCGCTTTTAGTTTTCTATTTTTAATGCATCTGAGGGTTCAATATTTACTTCCACAATAAACAGGGCTGTTCTGTCATAATTTTGACACCCTTTCGGAATATTAAATCTGTCCTAAAAATCGTCTATTTAGTTCGTTTAGGTTCAATTTCATAGAAGAATCTCTAAGTCTTTCGTAATTCTGGCTCTCACACATGCACGTATTGAGGGATCTTTTCACATCAGACACTCGAATGGAAGCGAAAAGAATGGATTGTTTCGTCTATCAAAATATTTTTATGCTATCGGGCTAAAACTCGTTACTGAATAAGAAAGCGACAGACAAAGAAAGTAATATCAATCTGTCATCTCTATGCTGAAACTAATTGCAACTTAGGTGCGGTCATCAACTGAATCCCGTCCAGGTCAAGAATTGTGATGCTAACCAAGTACTTGAGGATACCCGAGTCGCTCATTTACGGACAAATTAGACCTATGTAAATGGATTTTATTGAGTGAATATTAGCATCAGCTCAGATACTGAGAATTTTCTGTTGCAGATTTTTACATATCACATACAAATACTGTTTTCCTAGTGTCATCGCCAACTCCTTCAACACAGTAATCATGGTTATGCTGCGTGACTTGTATGTGCTCACATCATCACCTATAATGATCGATGATTACTTTTGGAAAAATAATTGGTCATGGTATTTCATGCATAGTTACAATTTGTTTATTTATTTTTCTAGATGTGATGAAAATCAACCTCCATTCGATGCACCAATATCCAATTCAAAAAATAATAAACGTCAATTTCGTCGATTATATTTATTCGATCAAGAGAATGAAGACAACGATGATAATGGTAATGACGTTGATAATGATTATAGACTTAAAAATATGAAAGCTGACGTTGGTAATACTGCAGGTAAACAATCAAAAGATAATAACCCAACTTCTTCGATTGGTAAGCTCGGTAATAATCGTAATAGTAATCTACCAATGACGATCAACCCTAAAGTAACTACTAGTCGATCACGAAAAAGGAATTGATTGAAAAGAAAAGCACATTAATGTCCTGTTGAGTTATTTTATCCCAATGCAAAAAGTATCTTTTTTTGTAAGTTGATTGAATTTCTCTCTCTTTCTCCATTCCCGTACTTCGTACATTTCTTTCTTCTGTGTCTGTGAAGATTCACACTCACTAGGCATGCTTGCAATTTTGTGGGGTTTTTTTGAAGATTAAACCAATCAAGCTCAGAGTAATTGTTGTGTATTTTAAGAAAAATGTTATATTTCAAGATTCACGTCGCATTCGTTGAAGACTGATTGTACACTGAGTAATAACTACTCAGATTAATGTAGATAATTTAAACATGAAATGATATTAGAATATCATGATAAATTGTGGATTTATACTGTCTCTTTGATGATATTCATTTGAAAGTAGTGAGTTGAAAACTGTAAATTTAGTTCTCATTACTAGTTGTGACACCAGTCAGGATAGTTACATCTGTTCAGATTCCACTAAATGTCACAACTAGAGACATGAGAAAACATCTCGGATAATCACTTTTCTATTATCGTTGATCTTTTGAATTGATTATTCAACTTGTTGTAGCTTGTGCAATGTAAATTATGTTGGTCATTTTAAAGGTTAATCATGGGAATATTAGTAAATTTTTAAGTATTCTCATCATATTATTACACATTGACTGATAGTTTGCTGTACACTGATTTTGTAGTTATAGTGCTAGTAGTTCAATCAACCGGAATTTGAATTTATTTCTCATTCTGTTTTAAAATAATGGCCTAACAGTTAAAAAGCATTCAATTTTAGACGGTTAAATTGCAAATTCAAGTCCTTTTACATATCTATTTCAATCTAAACAGTTGTGTAGTAGTAGTATCATTAACCATCATGTACTGCCATTGTGGTATGTGCTACTTATATCGACATGATGAGTAATATATAACGATAGTCACGATTAGAATGTCTGGCAGCAGAATGTCGAGAAGGAAAGAACGTGAACAGAAAGTAATTGGTATGAAAATGCAGGAACAATAAAGTCTCAGACGGTTGATTAATATTTGCAAAAGAAACAGTCAAGTTTGAGACAATTAATTGATATTTTACAAATGAAGTATTTACTGTATGATTCTCAGATTTTAGTAAGATCTTCTGTAATTTTGTTTTCAAATGCATTTGGTTGTCCTCACTTATGTTCTCGTTCACTACACTATGAGTATGTGTAGCTTAGACAACTGAGTTCTGTTTTTAGTAAAATGAGCATCACTTTTCAATCTTTTAAATGAGGTAGGTTAGTCTGTCAGTAACAACGTAGAGCTTCGTATGTACATACATCAGTTCGAGTTGCCATACCACATTAGCACAGAGATACAATTGTCGATTCAAATCCCATAGTAGTAGAGGTAGTAAAATTTTAAGCAGTCATCGGAACGATTTACGTTTGAAGATGTTCTTCAAGGAGTATAATGCAGTGCAATAAATTTGGTAAGAGAAAAAAAGAAGGGACATAAAAAAATGCAGAATATTAGAATTTGGGAGAACACAAAGAGTGGATGCACCTACGCCATTGCAAAGTCTCTAACCATCGGTTGCAAATCCCAACCAGCTAGTCTTCCCTACCAAAATGGCTCAGTCCACATGTCAGTGACTTCATGGATTTGTGTCATGTTTTGGTCTGGCCCCCTTCAGATTTCCTCCAACCTGTATGTAGAAAGCATTTAATTAAGACAGTTTATTTCTACCAAATGTTTATATATATATATATATATATATATATATATATGTGATAATAAATTATTTTAATTCCTTTCCAGATTTTGAATAAATGAAAAAGACACTCTTATGGTTGTGTATATATTTTCTATGAAAACAACATACTCAGTTATATAGAATTGACTTGTCTATTATTCTTTGTAAATTTAAATGATTAACTTCATGTTATCCGTAGTTATTACAGTATCTAATATATTTTATTAAAGATTTTTAAATGGTGAATAATTTTTCTTTAAAACAAACAAACAATACAGTTTACTTGTTTTAAATCGACCTAATGGCGTTAACTGTACATTGAATTTTGTTTATAGAAGCTAGAAACTTCCTAACAGAAATATCCCATTTTATTTTTGTCGAAGTGTTTGTTACTGGTTTTTTATGTGTGTTTATCTTTTTTTTATAATTTTCATTGTTCATCTTAATTCTTGTTTAAATTAATCACAATATTCTAATTCTTTGTTGATGATCATACGATAATTGTTATACCCAATTATATCCAATGTTACACAATTAAAAAAAATAGGCTTTTTTTATTGGCGCTATTAAAATGTACACTGATTTGGTAGTGATAATTTAGTGAAGGAATATTAACAATCATGTTTTATGGCTTTAGTATGTGTAAATATGAGTCAGGGTTGATACTTCGACGTACAGTGCTAACAGGTATAGAAAAGTCGGTTGGAAGAAAGAAAAATTATTAAGAGGTGATCTGTGAAAGTCACGGTATCAATTCATAAAGTTATTGACATTTGGACTGATTCTATATGTCGTAAGATACGGGCCTTTAGATAAACATCTTAATCTACGGTTGGAGACTTTACTATTCGTCCAAGTTATCAGTTAAAATAAACATGTCTTAGAGCTTTTTCTTGTTATTTTCTAAATTGTATATATTTCTGAGTTAAATATTGAAGAGTTAAAACTGTACTCTTAGATTTAAATAGTACTAAAAAGAAATTTCTACTACAATCAGCTCATGTGTCTCAATGCTGTTTATTTGCTTAAAAGAAAAAGTATATATTCAGAGAAATCTTCAAGATTACAAATGCTGTAATTTTTTTGTATTGATAAGATGTCTTAGTAAATAACAGTTCTACATGTTCATTGTGATCAAATTTTGAGGGAAATTGTAAATATTAAAATCCCACGTCGTTGTGAAAGTATCATTTCACATTATAAGACTATTTCATCATAAATTCAAGTTGTTTAATATTGGGCGAGTAAACTTGCAAGTATTTATCTTCCAGTAGAATTTCTATAACTAAGTCATAACATTTAGCTTCTATAATACGAAACAAATATAAGTATTTCTTGTACTATCCTAGATAAAAACATGGTATAATTTACATGATAAGAATGATTTTACAGACACCTTTCCTGGGCTTCTTGTTTACTAAAATTCTGCCTGGATCTCTGTGTTGTCTAATGTAGATAAATGATAATTGCTATAGAGACTTCATAAACAAAAGCAGAACTTACTATTCATTCAAATATACAATCCTGAAAGCGGGGCTAGTGACAATATAGTACTGTATGATTACTCAATTATTATTTCTTTCAGAAATGAATGAATTCAAGAGCGACTTTTGGGATTTTGATGCGAAGTCATGACTGGTCATATCGGGAGTAAATAAACATAATCAGTAACACTATATGACATGAACTATTAGGTTGTTTCTCGTCGGATGAAAAGGTATTGTAGTAATTAAATGGTCTAGACTACGATATACAACTTCGACCTTGAAGAGATTTTAGCCAATCGGATGTTAGTAGATGGTTATATTGGGTTTGTTAATAAAAGACAGGTGTACAGGCTTGACGTGAATGACAGGTTTTTCTGTGTTGGAAATGGGCTTACCCTGTGATATGAGGAAGCGTTCGTTTAGGAAACTCATTTACATGGCACAAATAATGTTTGGAAAAAGCCTACTGAGCTCTTACATTGTCCATTTGGACTGCAATATCTTGCTCCGTTATTGGTCGGCTGGAATGCCGTTACGCAAAAGTAACTTGTCTGGGAAAACAGGATAATTCGTACATCAGTAAATTCATGTTATACGGAGGACCTTGAGAGATAATCAAAGCATCCCTGGGTATGCCTTAATTTACGTGAATTATGTTCAACATGTATTTTTTTCAAACAATCTACACAATTAATATAAAGCGTCCCTTATGACGTAACTTTCACATCCTTTAGTGTATGATTACACAAGAGACATGGTCCTAAGAACTAAGTGTTAGGAAGATTACATTACTCATAGTGAGGTGAAGAGACTAGCTATAAGTTTTTGTTGATCAGTATTAACAAAATTAGACTATGCTGTTTGAAAATAACCGCTGTTTACTCTACAACATAAAAAACCAAGAGTTTGAAGAACAGTTGAAATTTATTATTATTGTAACTGAAATATTCAAGAAATGTGCTTGTTATATTTACAATGTTTTAAAGAATATACAATTTTGTTACTGAAAATAAAGTTACAAGGATAAAAGGATTTGTTCTTTTTTATTTTCATAAAGATGGTTTTCCGTGTAATGCACAGTGCTAATCGATGTAGTTATTTGGCTAAACATGGTCACATTTATACAACTAATGCTCACAAATTAGTTATATCTATATGTTTGTTAATAGGTATTATGTCACTCATATTTATTTTAAAAAAGGGATACTGAGTATTTTGATGTTCAACAACAGAACGATTTTCCGACGTGAAATCTAAAAAAAAAGATTTTTAAACTCATTCAGACAATGCACATATATGTACAGTATTTACAACAACTTTATGAACAAAACACTGCAACTCATTTTTACCCAACTTTCAACTGCACAGTTTGAACAGCAAATATATTCTGTTTTCAATAAAGAAACTAAATCAGTGAGGCATTTTATATGGACATATCTGTCAGATCAACATGATCTAATCACGTAGTTATTCTGATACCAAGAGTAAAACGAATCAATGTCTGAATGAAAAACTAAACCAAAATTCGTATAACGGGATGGCAAATATTGTTTTACATGAATTGCGCTTGTCAATGCATTTATTTTCTAGAGAATACTGTAGATCATTAGGGATAGAGATATTCTCTAAACCTTAAATTTTTTTGACTATAATGTCCAGAGAAATGAGTTTAGCCAAGGTTATGCACTTTTAACGGTTCGCCTAAGAAATATTGATAACCACTTACATTTATTTTAAGATATTTTGACAGTGACTTTATTTTAGCTACCGATCCCCATATTAGAATGTTTGTTTTTGAAAATGTTATGTTCTCTAGGCTGGGTGGTGTCTTTTCAGAAGACATAATCTGCCGAGCAATGAGTGATTAGAATTTCATTACAGTTGTTTAAAAGCTTGTTCTGTCAGTATGGATTTTAATCTGTTTTCTGTAGTTATGGTTTCACTATCTTCTCTGAAATGATCTTTTATACTAATCGATCCCAGTCTTTTGCATTATCAAGAATAAATTCAGACATATGGGACTGGTTAGCTGGACCCAACAGCTTTGTGAACAAAGGATTGTAGCAATTGTAGTACGCAAACATACAAGCTTTTTACTTACTGTGGTTGTTTTTACGAAACAAGTTATCCCGTAAAGTTAAATAACTTATATATCGTGCTTCGAATTTTGATTCATTAATCTGCGGAGTTTATCGTATTTTTAATTCAAAAGACGTTAATTAAGGTTTATTTCCGTGTGCACTACGTTTTGTTTATATTTCGGTTAACGAATGTTAAAATTCATTGCAACAACTTATCAGTCTGCAACTGTAATAAACTTATAGCCAGTCAACGAAAAAGGAAAAAGAGGCTGGATAGTGATGTGAGACTTAAAAAGCAAGTACGTCCTGGATTTTAGTGAAGGAGAAAAGTTTGGTTATCCTGAGGTTCTTATTTTATAACATTGTATTGCAAAGTGTGAGCTCTATACAGCGAAACAGTGGTTGACTAATTAGTTAAAAGAACATATTTGCTTCGTTCCGGAAAACTTGTATTCATAAAATGTGACTATTTACTTACTTTTCCACAGTTATTTCAACTGCTTATAGGATCATACAAATTTCCAAAATATGCTACACAGACAGATGATGAAAAATGTTGTATAGGTATGAGGACTCCATACTCGTAGTGCGCCTCCCTACGTCAAAAATAAAGACATTTTCATGCAAATAACCATAACATTTCGAAAATATTTAAGCGTGAGCGTGTAAACATCAAAATGTTTTATAAAAGAGATAAACAATATTTAGAGTTCACTGTAAGTAAACAGGCTCATTTATACTTTCCGTACATTATAAGGGGTTAGTTTAGTGACATTTATGGTCACTATGCATCAAATGATATGATGAAGTTAGCTCGATATTTTGAAGAATAGAAAAAGCACATTTCTAATTATGTTTAGCATGCGATAACTTATGTGTGCATAGTATAATTAAGTGTATCTGATAAATTTTATGTACAACTTTAATACACGGTGAACCTTGGGAATCATGGCACAGAGAAATTCTTAGAATAAGTTCCGGGAAATTATAGAAACCGCAATGAAGCTTCTCACCACTGAACTGGTCCATATTTATAAAATATGGGCACTCATCCATAACATTTACTTGTTAATGATGCAATCTAACTCAAATTTCGCTCAGCTTTTCTAACTGTAACAACACGTTTAGACTGACAACTATGTGCTTTTCAATATATACCAACTTGTGTTTTGGAATTTCTACTCTCTAGGCCAATTCAAGTTCGAATGTGTTATTTGATGTCAGTATTATGAGACAGATATTAATGGTAAAAAGTTAACTGTAACGGTACTCATATTTTCATACGTAATATGTGTTTTTTAGTTGTAAAATCAAACATAAAGAGAATTACTGTTGTTTTATTGCTCATAAAGTCAAAACACAAATAGGTTTATTCATTTTTTCTCTAATTTTGCTTACATTATTTTCAAACCAGATACTTGTCTAACAAGTATTATTGCTTTCTTAAAGGGATACTTGATGTGATAGCTAGTAAAATAACTTACAGGCACATAGTAATTGCATCGATCACTGTTACAGCAGTAAGAACAAATCCAGTCACGGGTTTTTGATCTGGAACAACGCTCTGAGATGACAGACGATGTCATTTGACAAGCAGATGTTGTTGTGCAGCCTTTTGTAACAAATGCCCTTCTCTCAGCGAGAACGGTCCAGAAAGAAGGAGCTATGATATCAGAAGGAAAACATTCGGTTACTTCTATACTGAACAATAGACTGGCAGGTATCTTGTAAAGGTTCGCAAGTTTGGATAGTTCTAATGCAGTCATTCCAGTTTCCCTCCTCATTTGTACAAATATAGCACTCAAGAGCTTCTAAAATTTACGTAAGCCCTATATAAATCTTAGAACGCAAACCTAGATGAAAAGGCAAACTCGCAACTAAACTTAGAACCTCTAAAATCATTTCCTCCTTTTTGAAAAGTTGCTGTTTATACTAAAAATGTTAAACAACTCTATCGCATTTAATAAACATA